GGTTTCACATGAGTTATTCAACCAGTTTGGCTGGCATGTCACTAATAGATTATGTGGTTAAGTCATGTAATCTTTCGTTTGTACCCATCTTTTGTGGTGTTTTCTTTTTCTTTTTATCGTTTTAGTTGATACTATGTACGTTTTAGACCTATTTATTTTCTTTTAATAAAAATGGATGTGTGCATCATGATGATGCAGAGGCCGGGTTGTTTCCCCTTTTCCAAAAAAAAAATCTCGATGCTTTAGCTAGTTCGATGTTGATGTAGTCATGTTTAGTAAGTAATGGATTGTTTAAATATAGAACTTTTGGTGTTAATGTGGTACCGTTATTCTAGTTATGTAATGAAGTAATTTAAACTTGTGTTTGAAATTAATTCGAGTGCAAAAGTATTAATTGAGAAATTAAGTTTTGAGGATAGACTAGATGCCTAAATGGATAAAAATAATAATTCCACAAAAAATGGGCTAGAGTCTAGAGATGCCGTAAGACTCGGTATGGACTCCTAGATGGGCAAAGCATGCATGCGCATGTACGCAACCAGCTAGCTCTAGGTTTTTGCACCTTATGCCTTTGTTGACTGTTACTCCCTTCGTTTCGAATTACTTGTCGCAAGTATGAATGTATCTAGATGTATTTTAGTTCTAGATACATCCATTTCTACAACGAGTAATTTAGAATGGAGGGAGTAGTTGATAGCACATGCAGCTAGCTACTATCTCAGTTTGAACTGTCAAAACGTCTTATATATATTAGCAACATACTAGCTTAATAATTAAACTCAGTGTAGTATGTAGAGGCCGATGCCTGCAAGGATGAATTGCTACATTAACACGCACAGATGACGACCGACAAGGACAGTTAATATTAGCTAGGCTGGGTTTACTGGTAGTATTAGCTAAGCTAAAAGTTGGATCTCGGGGAAAAGGCATGGTGGAAAGATTACTTTAGCTCTACTCCGACGCTACTTAACATGCGTCCCAATGTCGATAGTGACCCATCGACAAGCACATTCTCTTCTGTTCAAAAAAAAAAAAAAACAAGCACATTCTCTGTCCATTCATCCTGCATTAATCCTGCTGCATCTTTCTTAGTAGATTATCGAGTGTATAAATATAATTCTTGTACCTTAACTCGAGACCTCTAATTATGCGTGCAGTGTGTGTGCTCTAGCTTGCAAATCACGCGTGGCTTAATTCATAATTTTTTTTTCGTTTTCGAAAATGAATGTGTACCCCCAGCATAAAAATGTCGATGGTTTGACAAAAAGACCTAGCTAGCAGGACCCGCCAAAAAAAGAGTGATTATATTTCTCGGATGACAAATAACTATGTTCAAGTCACAGCGAAGAATCATCCAATCACTCTAATAATGAAATTCCAGTCTAAAGATGAATGAGCTCTCCGTGTGATGAATAGTTTACAAGACAGACTAATTAATTAGAGGATGGATCAATTGCTTGCTTGATTGGTGCGCTTAACCGTAACTAACAACTGCTAGTAGCCCAACCCCAACCAAACTCACACTACTGTTTCAGCCACTTAATAATAATCTACTCCCTCCGTTTCTAAATACTTGTCTTTCTAGGCATTTCAACAAGTGACTACATACGGAGCAAAATGAGTGAATCTACACTCTAAAATATGTCTACGTACATCTGTATGTAGTAGTCATTTAAAATGTCTATAAAGACAAATATTTAGGAACGGAGGAAGTAACAAGAAAGAGATTTGATTTTAAGTATAGATCTTACAAAAGGTAAAGATTCAGGGCTTGCTGATTGGTTGATGCGGTATCTAGAGTTAGCTAGCTGCCCAGTTCAGCTAGAATAATTGTTGTTTGGTACTCCATAATTAAGCAACCATATATCCTTGACACCTGTGTGGCTGTGTTTGCCTCCAGACTAATTATTCTGCTCTAGCGGTTGGAGATCTCCTCTGATTAACGGGGACAAGCTAGCTAGCTATGCTAGGAGAATATACAGCTAATTAATTAATTAAAGTTGTCGGCTTAGTCTATAGAGCTACTACTGTAAGAGAAAACGATGGTGCATGCCTTTATTTGTAGGTGCCTTTATTCAAGTTCCTTGCTTTTCATGTTACGGATCCTAGCAAAGGTACCTAGCTGCCCTCACTCTTTTATGTCTTGTTTATATTGGACAAACGGTTGGGTCACATATATATACATATTGATCAGTCGTTAATTCTTCGTGCTTGCAGTTAATTAGCTAGAGTAGTTACTTACGATGTGCTTAGCTCAAGTGATGCATCGATTGATATTTAGTCAGTCAGTCAGTCAGGGATTTGTTAAGATTCAGGTGTGATGAATTTGTCATCCATCCAGACAAGACTAACAAAGATGCATGTGCAATTCTGCAATCTAAAAGGAAGATCAAATCTGGAGGTGGTGATGGATGGATGAGTCAGAATCATATGGATGTGAGAGAGACCAAACCCAAGGATTGGTTAGCTTCTCTCACTTATTAGCCAATCAATCATTGTTGTTGGAACAATTAAAGAGGAGAACTTGTATTTCATTAATCGCCGAGAGAATGAAATCGATCCATCATTGCCTAAGGGTGTTTGGTTAGTTGCTTGATGTAATGCCACATAGAAAGAGAGGAGGAGGAGGAAGAAGATCGTGGCATTTTTTTTTTCTGCCAACTCAGTCTGACACGCGGGCCCAACCAATCAGTGATGTCATCAAAGCAATTAGCTCCGCACGTCGGTGTTTTTATCACTGTTAATTGTTTCATGCAGTGATTTTTGCCACGAATTGTAAAGTGGTGGTTTCTTGCTATTGTAGTGGTATTTTTGCATTTAACACGACGGGAGTGACCCGGAGGCAAGGACGACGCAACATCTTTAACGTCTATCTACTGACTACATACAGAGAGAAATGGACAAGAGAAAAACATGCATGCACATGAACGCAACCAGCTAGAGGTAACTTTTTGCCTGCTGGCGCTTTGTTAACTCTTTGTCGCCTGCAGATAACCTTTTGGCCGCTGAATTTACTAAATTTATACTGTACTTGCTCAATAATATACTGTGTATATGTGGAGATAGATGCATGGCATGAATGAATTACTAAACTGGTTACTCACATGAACGTACCGGACCGACCGACAATATGCATCCCTCCATCTTGGGAAAGATTACTTTATTAATTAAGAGTTTAAGTATAGTAATTAACACCCCAATGTCCTTGGAGAAGCAACTTCATTTTCTACTCTAAAGGATGAATTGTGGTATAACGAGGTGTACATTGATTGATCATGCAACGACTGAGCTCTGAGCGCTACTCACATCCATAACAATTTTACTCAAAAGAAGCTTGCCGGAGCAGACGATCGTTCAGTTGATTGATTGAGGCTTAATTACTCCGGCCATTAGCAAGGAATGGGCTAAGCTAATGAAGCCCAAAATGAATTAAGAAAGGGCCTAGGCTGCACGTACGCGGATCCATCATCATCTAGACCTAGACGTCACGTACTAATCAATCAAGAATCAACGCACCCACTCACGCATTGAGGCGACTTCCTGGGCTGGCAAATACAATTAAACTACTTGTCGTTAGCTCAAGCGATAATTCTCAAAAAAAAAAAAAAGTTAGCTCAAGTGATTCATCCATGCATTGATCTACGTTCAGTTAGTCAAGACAATGAAGGAATTTGTTTCAGATTCAGGTGTGGTATATATATATTTGTCATCCATCCAGACAAGACTAACAAACATTATTAAGTGGGGCCTAGCTTAATTAATTCATGATGCAATGACATACAGTAGATGCATGCATGTGCAATTCCGCAATCTAAAAGGAAGATCAAAACTGGAGGTGCTGTCGGATGGATGAGTCCGAGCTGAATAATTGTACTACAGTAGTTTGCTGCTCCATAATTAAGCATCCAGGATTAATTAGTTGTTGTCATGCTTGAAATCTAACAACGGCCTAAGCTAGCAACCAATTAATACATCCTTGCATATATATAGGTGTTTGGCTTCAGATTAATTTGCTCCATAGCTAGGAGAAAGCATGCGTGGCTTTGTTTGTTTGTAAAGGTAGGAATGTCATGCATGGACCTGATTAAGCTAACTCTGAATTATACTTCTTGCAGCAGTTAACTAACTGACCTAAAAATTCAGTCAGTCAGTGAGTCAAGGAATTTGTTGAGGACAGCAGGTGAGGTGTGATGGGTGAGGTTTGTCACCCATCCAGAGTTCCAGTTTCCAGACAAGATGGACTGCTAAAAAGAGAATTCTGCAATCTGAAATCTAAAACTAAAAGGAGGATCAAATCTTGAGGCTCTCAGTTTGCTAGCCAATCACTTGACCAAATCCATCCATGTGACATGTTAGCCTGCCTGATTGCTTCTCTCACTTCACTTATTAGCCAATCAGATAACTTGAGTTGAGCTGAGCTGCTACTGCTAGCTAGACAGCATTGTCAGGGAGCCAAAAAGAAAGCTGCCTTGCATCATAATGCTCCATCCATAAGGACCACTAAGCATCTGCTCTGGTGTACTTAATTAAGCTCCAGTTAGTGGAGGACGTTTGGTTTTAGTTCAACTGACTGACTGACTGAATTAAGCTCAACTAGCTTAGCTTTACTTCTACTACACTAGTTGTAGTTGGCAGCACAAAAGGTGCACACACAGACAGACACACAGACACACAGACAGACTCTGCACTTCACTGCATCTGCATGCTATCAATTAAAAGTAAGAAGAAAAAAAGATGCACCGAAAGTGCCGACAAATCAGAATGCAAGAAAACGTTTGTCCTCTTGAAGGCACAAAAGAATTTTACTCCAGCCACTCAGTGTTGCTTCCTACTAACTGGAGCACAAGTAGTAAGTAGTAGTAGTAGTAGTAGTAGTAGTAGTAGTAGTAGTAGTAGTAGTAGTATTAATAGTAGTATACAAGAGAGAAACAGAGAAAGATAGCTACTTGCAAACCTTCTGTAATCGAGCAACTAGTGCACTGCACTGGATGATGCTCAGCTCAGCTAGAGATGGTCGAGGCGTCATCGCGGTACAGATGCCACTTGTCGTATCTCTGGTGCCCCGGCAGCAGCGGCCGCAACCGTGGCGCGCGCCTGCACTCCGAGCAGCAGCAGCCCCTTAGCTCCTCCAAGCACCCACCGCAGCACCTACACCAGCAGTTCAGTTCAGTACATTCCACACTTCACTTGGCACAACCTGCAGCTCAATCTATCTAACATATCTACTCCTAGATGGTAGTAGTAGAAAGGAAGGACCAAAATGCGTACAGGTAGAGGCGGTTGCAGTCGATGCTGGCGCAGTTGCGGTGCCTCAGCTCCTCCACCTCCGACCCGCACACGTAGCACCGCCCCAGCCACCGAGACGATGACAGATCCCCGTTGTCGGCACCCCCTTCTTCTGCTGCGACTTCTGCCTCTGCAAACTTGGCCGGTGGCAGGGAGAGCCGGTCGTCGAACACAAACAGGTTACCCACCCACTCAGCGCTCCCTTGGCTCTTGAGGTAGTTGGACACGCCCCCCTTCAGAGTGTACAGGTTCCCGAAACCCTTCTCCCTGTCAAGGAAACGCACACAAGATTAAGGTATAATACATAGCCACCAATCCCTTAGCATATATGTGTACACTGCTTTTATTTACCTCAAGATCGTTGAGTAGACGTCGCATCTTATGCCACCCGTGCAGTACATTAATATGTCTGTGTTCTCTTTGTCTACTCCATGCAGAGGGTCCGTCGAATCCATCTGCATATGTATGGATTACTTCTCAACAAGCTATGTATGGATTACAAATGCAATGCAGCAAGACGGCATTAGCTGAAGGAGTACCTCCTGCTCTGAGTTTGACAGCCCAAATGAAGTGCTTCTGAAGCAGTCCACGTTAGGCCTCTTGGCTCCTTCAAAATGTCCAATGTCCCATTCATAGTCTGGCACAAAAACAACATACGACATAAATACCTACTTAGGTGATTACCACTTCAAATGATGTCAACCCACAAAACATAACAGACGGATTTATCAAAGTACAGGAAGGGAGAGAACATAGTTTACCATTCCTAACGTCAAGGAGCAAAAGCTTTCGTCCTTCAGAGGTATCTCCAGGTGCTCCGGTTTCAAGGCGTTTCCTAGCTTCAAGCTTCTCCCTCCACTCGGATGGGGTCAGTGGTGAAGCACGCATGCTAGGTTCCACCAAAGGAAGATGACAACTCCCTCCTTCCAACTGCAGGTTTTGTTTTGTTTGTAGATAAGATGTCTGGAAACTTTACTGTTAAAAAACGGACTTGTCTCTGGCATGTTCCCAAGTCTGAATATATATAGTGAACTAACCAAATCTTGGTACTTCTAACCTTCTACTAATGAGGTCAAATGAAACAAAATTCAAGACTTCAGTGCGTGCCTTTGGTGTGTAATCTTGCACTTTCAGAATCTTGAACAGAACAAGATCGTTCATTATCTAGCATAACAACTCCTACAAGCTTCGAATTTGCTCTCTGAATTACACATAAGGCCTCAGCCCAGCCCCAGCAGTTACGAGATAACAAATTAAATACACACTGGGCAAAAAAAGAAAATGCCGGCTAGTTTAAAAAAGGATAATTCAGTAAGATAACCAAGTTAATTTCACCACTTAAAATGAAAGCAACAGGAGAAGGGGTTAGGAGGCTTGCAGCCTCAGGAGAAGCTCCAGGACAGATTAGAATGTGAAACCGTGAAATGGTTGCGGGGACTTGTAAGAAATACAAGGCTTTCACCTGAAATTTTGTGCATGGTATGATAATTATCATCTTGCCAACTCTTGGATGGACGGATATTCGTTCCTAACCAGTTAGACCTATGATTAGAACTCTGGAACAAGATATATTTGGTTATTTTCTTCTAACATGAAGTTAGTTGCTCGGATGCTTAGCACTGAGCAGGTAATAGATTACCGCACCTACCCTCACGCCCCTAGGAACCAGTCTTCATCTTACCATCGAGACACAAAGAATGCCAGGCTCTAAAAATGTGAGGCTACTGTACTGAATTTTGTTTCCAAATTATGAGATAAAAAAAAAGAAGCAGATGTACCCAAGGATTGGTTACCTGAACAAGAGATTGTTTGTAGCGCAGTTTGAGCCGAGGAAAAGCATGCCCGCTTAACGCTGGCGAAATTTGGATGAGTATATCAGAGAAACGCCGATCTTTCCTGACCCAATCAGCGTACGCCATTGCATCTTTGCGCGGACCACTGTACTGTGCTGTGACAAGAGCACAAGTTAGAAAAGTAGCCATGCTGGAAGCTGCGGCATTCAGATATACGAATCACTCTTGATATTTTTTTGCGCTAATTAATATGCATCGAAGGCTAAGAGAGAGAGAGGCATATGATATGAATACTAGAAAAGTTATGAGGAGATGTGACATTTGGACTGTGGACTGTGGTGACAAACCAACCTAAATTAATTGCTTGTGCCATTAACTTGATTGCTCAGAAATGGTAAGTAGTATATGCAGTGTGGAACCATGAGACCCTAAACTGTCTCAAACTTGCAGATATGTACATTTCCCTCCCTGTGCTGTGCTGTTGACTAACATAACATGTGCATCGATGGAAAACATAGTGTTTTTGGCTTTGGCTTTGGCTTTCGGGATTACGTACGTACCTGAGCGTTGATCCCCTGCTGGTTCATGTAGATGCGACCCTGTATGTCTATGTCGCGTCCCTGGATCGGATCAGGACAGGAGAGATGCATTTTTTTTGTGTGTAAAATAGGAGTAATAAAGAAAGATCCAGACTTTCATTCATTCATTCAGATATCCAAAATCTGGTGAACTCAACTGAAACTGGATGGAGTTAGGGGGCCGACCTGGAGGAAGTGGAGGTGCGCGGCGACCTCGGCGCGGGGGTCCTCCACGGGCACCAGCTTGTAGAACGTGACCACCACGAACTCCGCCTTGGCCTCCCACTCATCTGTGCCGGCGACGGCCGGGTGGGAGGTGGGGGCGGGGAAGGAGGATCGGAGGCGGGCGGGCGGAAGCGGGAGCGGGAGAGAGAGAGCGCGCCACGGCGACAAGAAGAGGCCGGTCCGGCGAGGCGGCGGACAGAGGAGGGGGATGTGGTAATGGTGGTGGAGGTGGACATGGACATGGACGGCGGCCGCCATGGCCACTCCAGGGGCTGGACCTGGACGGATGACTATCTTCCTTATCCTCTCTTTGTGTCCACGTTGCCACAACCCTTTCTTTCCCTTTTTTTTTTCTTTTTTGTATTTTTCACATTTAATTTTCTCAACATCAGATATCTGCTCTTTGAGCCCCGTGTCGTCCCCCCGCAGGCGACACCTAGTCGCCGCCGAACCACCCCCCTCCTTCCCCGCCGGGATCCAGCTAGCCTGCTCCCTCTCCGTGCTCTCATCCGTGCTCCCACCTTATCCTACGGTTGTCTTTTTTCCTTATTTATTTCTAATCTAATCATCTCTTCTTCTTCTTCTTCTTCTTCTTCTTCTTCTTCTTCTTCTTCGTATCCACATTGCCACAACCATTTCCTTTCCTTTTTCTCACATTGTATTTTCTCATAATGAGATGGCGAAAGAAATAGATCAACGAAACTTGGGACCGTCTTGTTATTAATAAAAATAAATAAATCAACTTTTTATAGCAAAAAAACTTGCCCCAAATCTTTGATCTTCTCACGTGTTGTTTTCCTTATGCACCCTTAGTTCCAAGTCGGATTGATCATTGGATGGAACAAAAGAGGAGAATGTTAATTTCATTAATAGAAGAGAGAATGAAGCATCGATCTATCATTGTTTGAAGATATCATCATGATATGGTGTACAACTTCAATTAATGGAGGGTGTTCCCTATATCAATTAATACTATTCTCCATTAAGTTCAAAACATTATTGCATATGTGAAAAAATAAAATCATATTTGCAAGAGCAAGTCTACACCATAGCACCATAGACCAATAGCGTCTACCATATAGAAACAAACCACTCCAATAGGTTATAGTGAATCCAATAGGTGACACCGAGTTTAGTTAACCTACTAGTCACATGTTGTCAACTTATTAATGTACCTATATTGCCTCACATTTGCAAGTGGTACAATTTGTATTCTAGGAGATTCTATAAAATATGCTCTGGGAGATTCTATAGATATGCTTATCCAGTAATACACTAGAAATCACTATTAGTTAGACGATACACTATAGATCTCTATCATGATATATAATGATATTAAAATATACACCAACAAAACCGAAAACACACAATTACATACATGTGCACTATATAATTTACTCAATTTTCAAAAATTTATTTAAATACAAGTTTCCTAAAACACACAACTTAAATTTAGAAGAAATTATTTTTGGGTGGCAAATATAAAAATTGATAAAATAAGCATGATATACACTTAATATTACACAACGTTGTTATGTCGCTATCTCTACCAGCTAAATTAGCAATCGTATTCATTAATGTATTAGTATGGTAAACTAGTTTTAAATATATATATATATATATATATATAAGTTTGATATAAAAATATGGATTGTTTATTTGACAGTAAGCTGAAAAAGAATTGGGTTGCAGTCATTTTTTTCAAACAATTACAAGTCAACAAGTGTTTCTTATCCAATATATTTCAATTTTCTTTGTCTCGCCTATTGTTTGTCCTTTTAATGAGCCCCGCGGAAAGCACGATGTATATAAACAATAGCGGGTTCTCCCTTTATTCTCCCACCCGATTGAAACAAAAGACAAAAAACCAAAAGGAGAGAACCAGCGAGCCAAGATAACTGAAAACAATACTTGTTATGAAAACAATTCCATATCCTACTGCTAAATATTTGCAATAATATTGACATGAAATCATAAATATTATTGCAAAAATAAAAGACGAAATAGTTACACTACTAGAAATTAGGCAATCACCGGCAAGATAATACTCGGTGGTTGATGAAGCTATGTACCTAGGGTAGGGTCATGGACCTGTCCAGTATAGCCTCCCCAAGGACATCTTTACAAAGAATCAGAAGCAGTCGAAGAGAAAACATCATCCACTCGACCATGAAGATGTGCTCACTCGACTTCCTTGAAGACACTCGACCACCTTGAAGACGAGAAGCCCTCCACTCTGCAACGGTCATGACTTAAACCATAGCATTATGGGTATTTATAACACTTTATTGTAGACGTTACCAGTAACGCCCCACCTTTATGAACATTGAACCCTGTGTAACGGAGGGGAGCTGGGGTCCTGGCGCACTCTATATAAGCCACCCCCCTCCTCTGGGACAGGGGTTCGCACTTTTGTAAACACACACACACATATAATCCAGCCGACCGCCTCAGGGCACCGAGACGTAGGGCTGTTACTTCCTCCGAGAAGGGCCTGAACTCGTAAAACTCGTGTGGACAACTACTCCATAGCTAGGATCTTGCCTCCTCATACCTACCCCCCATTCTACTGTCAGTCTTAGATCCACGATAGTTGGCGCCCACCGTGGGGCAGGTGTCTTAGCAACTTATTGGAGAAGTTGCAATTTTTCCGATCCCCATCATCATGGTTCCAGGCGGAGGTTTGGCTGAGGGCCGCGAGATCCGTCTCGGTGCGCTCGTGTTTGTCGCCGACGACTCCGCTTGGCTTCAGGAGGCACCACTCGACGTCGACGCGCTCCCCGCCCGCGGGGCGGCGCACTTTCGCGCGTGCGTCCGCGGCGTCCTCCTGCGGCAACCGTCGACCCAGTACTAGTCGACTCCAACGGCTTTCTCCCTCCCCGCGACCCGCCGGAACAAGCGCACCGGCCGGTCGAGGGTTCAACGGTGGGTGAAGCATGCGGTGGCCCGCCAGTCGGCCACCCCTCAAGTCGCGCGCTCGAGCCCGACGAGTCTCTCTACGGCCTGTTCGATCTGTCAACTGGCTCCATAGAGACTGCATCCGAGTGCGGCAGCAATGACTCGGCAGCGGAAGTCCTGATGGTCAATGGACCACACGGTCCTCCTGGCTTCGATCGTGAAGACGGAGGTGACGGGAACGGCGATCCGTCGCGCGTTCACGAGGAGTACCGCCCCGAGCCTCTCTCCTCGCAGCAGAGAGAAGAACTTCGTCGCCGAAACATGGATGCCCTGCATACTCCTATAGTTGGAGAAACGCCCGAGGCCCAGGCCTTGGAACAGGCTCGCTTGGTCAATCTGGCTGAGCGCACTCGGCTGGAGAACCTACAACGCGCACTCGACGATCGCGCTCGTCAACGTGCTCCTGAGTCTAGCCGACGCCAACTTTTTCCACCTCCGGCTCAGGTATACCGGACACCGATCCAAAACCTAGAAGCTGCGGCCCGGATAGCAGAGTCGATTCAACCTTCCCAGTCAGAAGCTGGCCGAGGTCTGGCGCAGATCAGGGCCTTGCTCCGGGCAGCAGGAGAGCAGAATACGGCCGTGTCTCAGTCGCGGGATAGGATCCATAGCAGATCTGTGGTCGCAGATACGGTCTAGTCGGCCCATAGCCCGAGATCGCCCCCGAGGCGTGAGGGACGTGGAGAGCGGCGTGATCAGTATAGAAACTAGGAGCAGTATGATCGTCGAGTCGATCGCGATGGTCGCCGTCGAGTGCCCACGCCTCCTCCAGGGAGTGGGTCATACGTGCCGCGGCCACATGAAGACAGGCGCCCTAATAGCGTCGGAAGAGGTATTCCAGTTGACCCTAGGGAGCCAGGCTTTGATGCGAGATCTATTCTCGTACAAGGCTTGGTCGATAGAAACAGAGCTCACCGAGATGGCCATGACAGAGGCCCGCAAACTAGCAACAGGGTGCATGTCTCTGGCCCAGAGTGCTTCAGCAAAGCTATCAGAGCTACAGTGGTTCCCCCCAACTTCAGGTTGACGACTGGAGTCAGTAAGTTCATCGGAGAGTCCAAGCCTGACACCTGGCTCGAAGACTACCGAGTGGCTGTCCAGATTGGTGGCGGCAATGATGAGGTGGCCATGAAACACCTCCCTCTGATGTTGGAGGGCTCGGCTAGGGCATGGCTGAATCAGTTGGCGCCTGGCAGCATCTATACTTGGGAAGATCTCGCCCGAGTGTTTGTCAGGACATTTGAGGGTACTTGCAAGCGGCCAACAGGTTTGACAGAATTGCAGTGTTGCGTCCAGAAACCAAATGAAACTTTGAGAGATTATATCCAGAGGTGGATCACCCTGCACCACACGGTGGAAGATGTGTCTGATCATCAGGCAATTTGTGCTTTTAAGGAAGGCGTCAGGTACCGGGAGTTGAATCTGAAATTCGGTCGGACAGGAAACATGACTTTGACTCGGATGATGGAAATCGCCACCAAATATGCCAATGGTGAAGAGGAGGAGCGACTGCGGAGCGGCAAGCACAAAGCAGTCGCCCACGAAGCCGGGGGAGGAAACTCCAGTCGGAAACAAAAACGCAAGGCCGAACCAGCTGCTCCGGGTGAGGCCTTGGCTGTGGTTCAAGGAAAGTTCAAGGGGAAGCCCAAAGGGCCGTGGAACCCCAAGAAAGTAAAAGATCAAGATGAAATGACGTGTTGGATCTGCCGTGCCATATCCACACCAAAAAAGACGAAGAAGGTAATTTCATTTACCCGAAGCATACCACTCGACAGTGTCGGCTCCTGATCCAGCAGTTCCGAGAGAAACATCCCAAGGAAAAGGAGAAGGAGGCAGACAAGGCTGAGAGTGAAGGGGAAGATGATGATGGTTATCCTCACGTGAATTCCACTCTGATGATTTTTGCTGATGTTGAAAACAAGAGTCGATTAAAAGTCATCAACAGAGAAGTGAACATGGTCGCTCCGGCGACACCCAATTACTTGAAATGGTCGTAGACTGCCATTACGTTCGACCAGTCTGATCACCCAGCGCACATCGCCACCCCTGGGAGGCAAGCGCTGGTGGTCGACCCGGTGGTCGAAGGCACTCGACTGACAAAGGTCCTGATGGACGGTGGCAGTGGCATGAACATTCTGTATGCAGAAACGTTGAAAGGAATGGGCATTCCGATGTCCAGACTCAGTGAAAGCCATATGAGTTTCCATGGGGTCATCCCAGGCAAGAAGGCTGCGTCCCTCGGTCAGATTGCACTCGACGTGGTTTTCGGTGATGCCAAAAATTACCGCAAAGAAAAGTTG